ATTCCCGGCGCCCACTCCTCCCTTGCCCCCTCACTGCCAGCCGGACCGCCCAACCACCGAGGGCAGCAGACAAGAGGGGCCCTTCGCTCCCTGCAGCGTCGCTGCAGCTGACGGCGCCGCGCTGGAAGGCAAGAAACCCACACACGCAGCGCCCCGCGCCCGCAAGGAAAATAAGAGCGTGGGCGATCAAATTCCTCACCCTCCCGCTGTGCCGCTTGCCCACCCTTCACGGCCATTGAAGAAGGCAGCAACAGCCGCCAGACACAACTGCCGGCAGCAACTACGGAAGAATCATCCACGCGCACGACAGTATATACACCGTGTGCGTGCGGTTCTGCGTGCCTGCGGATGCGCAACGGAAGGGAGAAAGAAGAGCAAAGCATATCCGTGCGCACTTTGAAACAGAAACACAGCAAAGAGGTGGGGGTGAAAGGGACGACTACAAAGGTTGGCGCGCCTCGAGATGGCACCGCAGCCCAAGCGGCGGCAGCTCAGAGAGAACCTGGGCCTAGGCTCTCCCTCATTGCGTCTTCGCCCCACAAAGACCCTGAAAAAACAAAAACAAACAAAGTATCGTCCAATTTAACATTCCCCCAAAAAAATTAAAGAACTCGCCGTTTGTTCCGCCGCGGTGAGTGGCTTCAGAAAGCCGAGCGTATGTTTCGCATGCAAGAAAAAAAGAAAACAAAAAGGAATTGCGTCCGGCGCATTTCGGGTATTAGTCCCCATCTTCACACATCAGTTATTCTCCATTGATCCCGCAAGCGCGCCCGCGTTCTTCTCGGCCCTTTCCTCTGTGTGTAGCTGCCGCATCGCCCCTCTTGGGTGTGGGGCAGAGAAGCAAGCAATCATGCGGGGAGCTCGCCCCCCAGCTGGGGAGTGTGGGCGCAGCAAAAAGGATACGACTTGGCAGAGAAACGAAAAAGGGCTCCACTGAAGGAGAAAATTCACAAACGGAAAGAATCCTGCACGCCTCCTGGCGCGGGTCGCCTCTCAAGCGCTGTTCTCCGACTCACGACAGGGCCACAAGCCCCCACAGCACCAGCAGAGGCAGGAAGAGCACCCGAGACACATTCTCACGCAAGGAGCTGTCCCCCCTCCCCCGCTCAAGCCTTGCCCACGCCTCCACGACAGACGTGACCCTCTTCAGCTCCTTCGTTAGGGGAGTAAGCAAGATGCTCTTGGCCGCATCACTCCCCTTCTCCTGCACAAGGTGCAGCTCATCGTTTGAGTGCAGCAGGGCGTTGGTGCACGTTCCAGCCCCGTCACTGCATCCGGAAACGGGCCCGGCGTGGAACGTGAGGTTGCCGTCGGTGACCCAAAGGTAGAGCGCCGTGGCGTTCTGCACCCCAGAGGGGCGCCTTTCCTGAGTGCACAACATCACCTTTTTCCCAGCAATCGTCGCGGTGGTGAGGGAAGTCACACGACGAATTAACTCCGAAGCGTCTCCAGCTGGGTCTACCCACACGTTTGAGAGAGTTCCAAGAGCCTCCGTCCACGTTGCCCCCATGTCCCTCGACTCCAACACCCTGCGGCGAGTGTCACAAACGGCAACCATGAGAAGTTGTCCCGCCTCCCACTCGGCGAGGAGAGACTCGGCGCAGCCGGAAGGGGACGCACCGCTTGGGAGCACCCACGTTTTGCCGTCGTCCGCCGAATACACGATCGTCGAAACCCAGCCGCCCTCACTCCGCCTCGCCAGGAGAGGAAACACAAGCGTGCCGTTGTCCATCACAATTCCCGAGCCACCAGCACCACAAAAGTCCCTCGTGCCACTTTGCTCAGCAGCTTGGCCGATCAGTGATGACAGCGAGGTGGGAGGGGCCCATTGGATCAGTCCGCCCTCACTGGCCTCACCCACCAACAAATCAAGCCGCCTGTCGACTTTGTCCAGGTTTCCCGCAGTATTGCTCTGCCTCGCCTCATAGCTTCCCACAATAAGAAACACCTTGTTGCCCTTTGCAACTGCGGTGGGGTAAAATGCACGGCCCACACCATTCGCTTCAGCGACTCTGTTGAAGACGGTGTGTGCCCTCCATGAGCCTTTACCCGTCTCGGCGACAATAGACGCCCACCCCTCAGCAGCATTGATGTACCCTGCCACAATATCGGCAGAAGTCCGTCCCACCACTGGCTGATTGGTGCCAGCGCCATTATGGGGGCGGTGGCCTTCGGCAAAGGCAACCAAGACTCCACCGGCACGGACGAGAGAAGGTGAGCGAAATGAGGCCCTCGTTTCACCTCCAGCGCCATCATTTGCTTGCACTTGCGTCTTACTCGGCACGAAAAGTTCAACACTCTGCGGCAGTTGCGCCCCCTTTGGTTTATTCCCCTCAGCGTGCACAGCTCCATAACTGCAGCATATCAGCACAACGAGGAGCAGCGGCACCGCAGCGGAGAACAGGCGCCGCGGCATGATGGGCCTCTCTCACTCTTCTTTTCCTCCTTGCGGTGGATCCGCTCAGGCCGCAACGGTTGCTTGTGTGTGTGTGTGTGTGTGTGTTTGTGTTTGTGTTGCTGGTGGTGTTAGCTGCAGAGCCTTCAAAGCGCACAGCGGCTAGCAGCGTTTGGTCTCTCTCACCTTCTTGCGTGTAGAAACAAAGAAGAGTTAAAGAAAAAAGCAGCAAAACGACACTGAACACAGTCGTCATCGACAGTGGCGACACACAACACCATCGTCATCACCGTAGCACTTATTTCATCACCTTCCACCGCTATTCCATCACAGAGGCAGAGACACTGCTGTACCCGCGTATGGCACGACGCCCTCCTGCAAGGGAACTCAATCAGCAGTCTACCAGCGGATAGGAGGAGCAGGCTAAAGCCAAATTGATGCAAAAAAAAGGCAAGCAATAAGACGAACTTACTTCGACGAGGACTTGTGCAACAAGACCACCATGCAGCAGATCAGCATGAAAGCACA